CGTCGCCGATGTGACCTGGGCCACAGCCCGGTGCCAGCTCAGCTTCCTCCACGAACCAGCCGTGTCCCTAGTCCCCACCTCCACAAGGCTGAAAAACTAGGGGTTTTGCTGAGGACCAAACAAGACAATGAACTGGCAACTGCTTCGGGAGCCCTGAAGAACTCTTACAGACGAGGGACTAGAATTGTAACTTGGGGTGTAATGGTGAGAGGCTTGGGTAAAACCAAACCAAGCCCACGCAGTATTTCTCTATGAAATATTGTCGCACCACAGTGTTTGGGGGGCAGCGGATATTTTGAGCAACAAACCATGTGCCACCAGAGGTGAGGTTGGCATGCTGTTCGAAGTAAAATCTATTCTGTTTGGAAATACTGCAAATGGGAGAGGCAATCAGATGGGCAGAGACAGCTGTCACATTTACACACAGGTAAAGTGGTCAAGGCCAAGCCATAGGTTATCTTTTTAAAGCCTGCAGTTGTTTTTGTTTCTGTTTTGTTCACCTGCTGCTGCAGAATCCGAGTGAATAGCCCCACCTAACACAATTTCCCATAAGCTTTTGCTCTTCCAAAGCCGTCATTTCCAGCACTCCAGAACCCCTTTTCATGAGATGACTTCATTCAGACAGATAATTTTTTTTTTGTTTCAGTATTCCGGCTGCAAACAACTAGAGTGCCTGCTAAGGACAATTAAAGGCCTTGGCTCTCCTGCTCTGTCACCGAGGCTCTGAGCCGTGCCCAGTGCCAACACACAGGGGAAATCAAGCAATGATGGGTTTTTCTGTGCAGTGGGGTTAAAACCCGGAGGCGGCTCCAAGGCCCTGGATATCCCTGCCCCCTCCCCGCCACTGCCCAGCTGGTCCACCCGTCACCCTTCCCAGCTCCAGTTCCTGGTTCTGGGGAACGCAGGTCAGGGGCAGGCTCACACCAAGTCCTCCCAGCCCTGGGCTTCTATTCCGAACACCTGTGTGCAAAGGACATGAAGTGGTTTTTACTGGGCGGCAACGGCAACCGAACTTTCCTAAGAGATTGTGGGTAGCCAATAAGACCCGCAGCCTCTCCATCGCCACACAAATGAAGGCCCTCCATTCAATTTTCTTTTCCCAGTGAACATCTTGGTGGGAAAGCGCATTGCCACAGCCACTGCGGAATCTGCCTAGGACTGGAATGAAAGAACCACAGGACAACAATGGAAGGAAATACGGCTGTGTTTCTTGGAAAGGCCTTCACTACGATTTTGTTTTCATGTCGACTAGTTGTCCAGCCCCATGAAAATTATTTCACCTCCGTGGGCCTTGGTTTCCTCATCTGGGAAAGCAGGAAGCTGGGCGAGATGGAGCAAGTCAGAGAACTGCTTTCCAAGCCCAGCTCCGCCCTCAACCACCCTGCTGCCTCTGGGCGTATCCCTGTGCCTCTTCAAATGGGACTGTCACCGCCAGAGTCATTCAGATATTAGCGACCTCCCATGTTCGATTAGGTAGGGCTATTCACTTGGATTCTGCAGCAGCAGGTTAAAAAGTCATGTACAGCTAAGTCAGCTGAACCTCATTCTCCAAAGTCCCTTCCAGATGGGACTTCTCCTTCGTTCACTCACTCACTCACTCATTCCTGAAATATTTTGAATGCCTACTATGTGCCCCGCCCTGTGCGAGGCCACTCAAGTAATCATCTGCACAAACACAACACCGGCCCTCATGGTGTGGTGGGTCACGGGGAAGAAACGCAATTAAATGACCACACGAATGTTTTGCTGACCCGTAACGCAACCTCTTTCCCGCCATGCTCTTCCCTCCCCACCCAGGCCACGCCCTCGCTGCCTCTCCACAGTGCTGCGTGTAGGCGGAGGAGTCTCTTACCACAGAGGTCACGTTCAGTTTCTGGGGAACTGTGACAACAAAAAGCACGTGGACTTTAGCCATTTTTATGATTGCTTGTAAATTCCCCTGAGGCGGTCCACCCCTTAGGGCCTGGGCCCAGGAGGGACCAGTCCCTACACACGGGGTTCCCACGCCTTTCTGTGTTTCCCGCGTCTCCAGCTCGGTCCACACCTCCTCGCCTCTGTCAGGAGGGTATCTCTTTACTGTGGAGAATCCACCAGTGCTCAGAACTCCTAGCTCAGCCCCAGTCCCCTCTCCCGCGCAAACACCTGCTGGCCCCCAGGGGCCCTTGCTGAAGCTCTGGGCTGTTGAGAGGTTCGAGTCCCCTCAGTTCATCCAAGCCCTTCAGGACTTACAGGCCTCTGGATTCTCTGGCCTCTCAAGAAAAATGAGAGAGAGACAGTGGCACTTCCCAGACACACTAGATGTGGGCGAAACGTAGGCCAGGACCTCTGCTGTTCCCTTCATCTGCTAACTCTGGCTTTATGTGTTCTCCTTTTTCTAGTTTCTTGAAGTGTAAAGTTAGGTAGATCATTTTTGAGATCTAGTGAGAGGCATTTATCACTATCAACTTCCCTCTAAGAACTCTTGGGTTGCATTCCTTAAAGTCTGGTATGTTGTCCTTCCATTTTCTTTTCTTTCTTTCTTTTTTATCTTCACCAGAGGACATAATTATTGATTTTTAGAGCGAGGGGAAAGGGGGGAGAATGAAAGGGAGAGAAACATCAATGAGAGAGAAATGCCCACTGGTTGCCTCTCACGTGGGCCCCAACCAGGGCCAGAGACGGAACGTGCAACCTAGGCATGTGCCTTAAAAAACCTGTGACTTTTTAGTTTACAGGACAATGCTCCAACCAAGTGAGCCATACCAGCCAGGGTTGTATTTCCACGTTCATTTGTCTCAAGGTGTGTTTTATTTGCCTATTGATTTCTTCTTTGATCCTTCCCCGCCCCCTCATCTGTAGCTCATGTAAAATTCTTTTTTAAAAACTTAGTCTCTTTCTTCCCCAAACTTATTGTACAATAGAGCCCTGTCACCTACAGGATGGTAGTCACGTGGCCTCTCCACCCAGCCCCGCTGCTGCTGGTTCCGACAGCATACCCCCGACCCCAGCCTTTGGCTGGCTAGCATGTGGCTGAATAAACCCTTTTATTTTTTTATTTTTTTTATTTTCAGAAAAGCTTTTTGGCTGGGAAGGTTTTTTGTTTAACACTCCTAAGGCAGGTGAGCATCCAGGGCATGAAAATGTGAAAACAGTGAGGAAATTTCCTTCACTGAGGGTGGGAGAAAGAGGATCCCCAGGGCAAAGAATGAAGCAGGGCCTCCCTAGCAGATATCCTGTTGTAACTCAGAGTGTTACCGAACAAGAGGTCCGGGGGGGGGGGGGGGGGGGGGGCAATACAATATTTGGCCCACCTAGGGATGCCAAAAACTGCTACACAACAGGGGCCCCTTCCAAGGACAAAATACTAATATCTACTGGGCTCTTCTGTCTGCCGCCAATTGGAAAGACATCTCTCAATGCCAGAGATTTGTGAAAAGGAAACGAAATGTTTATTTAATGCTATTCAGGCCTAACGCCTCTACTGAAATATCAAAGTCCTTTAGGGTACACACCTACACTCACACAGTGCTCCCTTCCCCACTGTCCCAACTCCGGATACCGTAAATCAGGACAAGAGCACACGTCTATGCTTTAGGCCACTGGTATCGTCAGCTATGTCAGGCAGGATCTCTCGTTAATCCAAAGTACTGTGGTACCCTCTCATGGTCCACTGGCAAGAGTTCTTTGTACCCAGTTCCAGTCAAAGTCTCTCCTGCTTTCCAGGCCACGCAGCCAAAGGAAGCACCCCAAAGCCGAGTGGGCCTCTTCTACCAAAGCTGCAGGGGTTCACACTCCACCAAAAGTATGTTGTCTTTCTTCTTCGCCTGGCTGCAGGGACCTCCATTCTGGCAAAGCTGCGTGATTTTCCTTTTCACCTGGGCAGTTATCGCCTCATGTCCTGGAGCCCATCTTTTCCAAGCTCTCACACAGGCACTCTCACTCAGGGGCCCAGCCCCTAGTTACCTCCTGGGTCGAAGCCACTCCCTTCTCCCCTTGCTCAAAACTTAGCCACAGCTATTTAACATATCTGTGAAACTAGTTAAAGGTTATAGATATGTTAAGTAATCATTCTAGAGGTTAGCTGCAAAACTGTTGCTATGCAAAACAGCTCTCAATGGCCCTAGCTCTATTTGTCTCTTCCCCCTTGGGAGGGGGTGGTGAGGACATCTTATATGTCTCTCCAATATTCCTATACACTTTGAATTCTGGACACCATTCCAAATCTTTTTTGGGGGGCCCCCCTTGGCTGCACCCTGTATCAAGAGGATATTATGCTAGGTCACTCCTCCAAAATGTTCTTCCCCTACAAGGTCATTCCCTGGGGTAAGGAGAGGTGTCTCACCTGCACGCCCAGGGCAGTGGGCCAGGCACTAAGAGGGGCAGGTGGATGGGGAGCCAGGCCTTCAGAGGATGGACGCTCCCCTGCGCTGGAGCTATTTTTTGTTATTCCAGTGTATCCCTTACTTGGCTCCAGAAAAGCATCCATCCCACACGGTGCTGTAATCCTTACCTTTCTCACCCACTACCTCGGAATCTGAAGGCAGAAACTATCTTTTTAATCTATTTTGTCATCGCTTAGTACCATCTGGCATTCAATCAGTGATGAAATAGGGGGGGCGTAAAATAAGATTTTTTCCACGAGGAGAAATCATTGTATCGATTTGGCTTCAAACAATTAACGAAACAAGAACAAAGAGCACCAATAAAGGCTGTTAAATTAGGCATGTTGTGTTTACATAAAAGCAGACATTTGTCCCTGTCCTCTTTTCACAAACGGTATGCTCCTGGGCACGGGAATTAAGAAAAAAGAAATTGGCCGAAGAAATCTTTCGGCCAATTCAACATTTGGATGATTAAGTATGCTTTCCAATTTTGTCTTGTAACCAATATACCCATTTATTCAAAACAAAGGGATTTCATGAAAATAGAACATAAGACCAAAAAAAAAAGGCCGGTGGCTCCTCCCCCTCGACACCCCCTCCCAACTGTGATGAATAGGAGGGACTGCTCCGCTCCCCCCGGGAGGCACTACACAATCTTCGCAGTGTTGGGGCTATTTTGCAATTTTTTTTTAGAGGTTCTTTTTTTCCGCCCTTATTATTGAACAAAGAGCTGCTGCTGTGCCGGGGCTTAGCGCTTCGGAGGGCCGAGGGCGGCGGCGGCCCCGCCCGGCTGGAGAGAATGCAGGTGGATGACGGCGCGTCTGGGGACCGCAGACACCTTGAATGACAGCAAATTCTCTCTCCAGGTTTCCCAACGGGAACCTGCCCCGCACGGTCGCCCGGTTTTCTCTCGAGAATCGTAGAAGGGGCTCGGCCGCAGGAGGCGCTTCGGGACCCAGGCTCCGGCCTGCCGAGAGCGTCGCCCAGAGCAGGCCGAAGCGGGCAGCGAAGGGACCGGGCGGTCGGCCGTGACTGGGCTCTGAGCCGCCGAGGGCTCCCGCGGGCTCGGCTGCCCGGGCGGCGTCCTGCCGGGCGGGCACCACGTGGAGCGCACCAGCTGCGCCCAGATGTGCCCGCCGCCCGCGGCCCCACAGGCCCCGCGGAGAGGCTCCTGCGCACCCCGAGGCCCCGCTCGCCCTCCCAGCTCGCGGCTCTCTTAAAGGGAGACCCCGGCCCGCCGCGCCGGGTCCCGGAGCGCCGCTCTCGGGGAAACGCCGCGCAAAAGGTTTGTCCCCGCGCGCGCGCCGTACCGCGCGGCCCCGGCGCTGGGGGTAGCGCGCGGCGGCGATGGGCGAAACCATGTCGAAGAGACTCAAGTTGCACCTGAGCGGGGAGACAGAGATGGAGGAGCGCGCGTTCCCCAACCCCTTCCCGGACTACGAGGCCGCGGCCTCCACCGCTGCGACGGAGGAGACGGGTTGTGCTCGCCCCGCGCCCTCCCCCGACGAGCTCGGCCTCCCTTTCCACGAGGATGGGAAGGTGAGTCGGCGGCCAACTTCGGCCCGGCCCAGGGCCGCGCCAGCTGGGGGGGAGTGCAAGCGGTGGTAGTGTCCACCCGCCCCGCCCATCGACCGGCTGACGTTACCCTCCCCGCCCATTGGGGGCGTGGCGTCACCCGTGCGCCGCCCCTGGGGTGCGCCCTTTGTCCCCGCCTGCGAGGAGTCTGGGCGCGCGCACCTGCTAGCACGCCCGTCGCTGGTGCCCAGCAGGGTCCTTCCTCGGAGGACTGGGCGCTGCTCCCATGCTTGCCACCTTGCTCGTGTTCGGTGCCTCCGTGCCTGTGAAGTGCCCAGATGGAGCGCTCCGTTTCGGGCACTTGGAAGTGGCTCTGCGGGCTCTAGTGGCGGTTGATAAAGCAGATCTGATGACAGTCTATGCCCTCGAACCAATTTAGCCAATGCAGGAGCAAAACAGACCTGCTGGAAACCTGCCCTTAGCTTTCCAGAGTCCGGTGGTGTCATCAGGCCTAGCCCCTGGGCCGCTCCCCTGGGAATTGACCTCAAGAAAACCTTGCTCACGAGCAGTATTGACGTTTTGAGTGTCCTCGTCCGTGTGCCCAGGCGTTGGAAAGGGGATGTCTGCAAAACAGTCAACTTGGTAGGGAAAGAGTGGTGCAGACCTAACAAACAGGTAAATAGAGGCAGGCGCAAAAAGTTGAGTTTAATTTGGGGGAAAGCAGCGGCCTTGCAGTTAGGGACGTGCAGAATGTAGCCAGCAGCATGCAAGTGCGAAGACAGACGCACTCTCTTAAAGGGAGACCCCGGCCCGCCGCGCCGGGTCCCGGAGCGCCGCTCTCGGGGAAACGCCGCAATGGAAGGGCAGCCTTTTTTAGGTTTCAGGAGGAAAATGGCAGCGGTGGTTTTGAACAGAAGTTCGTTGGAGAACGAGGTCAAGGTTGTGGTTAGTGCTGTTGTTGGGGCTGGAGGAGATCGTCCTCTTTTCACAAGCAGGAGACGAAATTCCAATATGAAGAATGCTGGCCTTTGTTTAAAGTATCCCTGCCTTCCCTCTCCCTGCTTGTAATACGGGTTGCAATGAATGAATGTGCGAATGGGATCTTTTTCCCAATGGCCTCCTGACTCCATTTAGAACAAGGTGTCCTTTATAGATGTTGATGGTGGAAATAAAGGATGAAATGAACGTCAGCACAACCGTTTTTGTGTTTGGTGAAGCTACACGGTTACCACTTCCCCGCCCTGGTTCTGCATGTGCTTTCTATCCCAAGAGGTACAAGTTGGCCAAAACTAAGAAGGCCGTTTTGAAAGAGCCCTTGGTCTGAATCGTAGGCAAGTGAGTTCTCCAACCCTGCATGTTCTTAGATGCGGTTATCAGTCCCGTGGCTGTTAGTCATCGAATTAGATAAACAGAGCTGTGAATGGCCTGGCCAACTACCTTTATGGTACCCGGTAGACCCCCCCCCAGCAAGTTTACCCGCTCCTTCCCCTTGAAAACGCAGGGTTTAGAATGCACGTGTCAGTGTTGCTGTCTCTCTCCATGTTTTCTCTTTCCACGTACCTGTTATATTTTTATTTAGAGTTCAATTTTTTTATAATAAAAATGTTATACTAAATGTTGGCAAGCATTAAAAAATCCATCATTCGTACTTACTATGAGTTACTATCTCGATGTTACCCTTACAGTAAGGAGGTTGGTGAGAGGCTCCTGAGAAAAACTCCTGACCCCGAGGAAGTCTCCACTGGAACAATAAAGACCAGGGCAGCGGAGTTCCGTTTTCTACCTCACAGACTGAGATAAACACATTCTGAAATTGCGTTTTCTTCTTTTTACCCTTTGGATCTGGTCAATGAGATTTTGACCTCAACCCTGTACCAAACTGATTCATCTAAAAGAAAATTAAAACACAGATATCCGATGGGACTTGTGTTCTCCTATGTAGTTAAACAACTAGAACACGCCAGGTGGGGGCCCATGCCGGTGGCTGTGGTTACTGCCCAAGGAAAGGGGAGGTGGAAATTGTGCTGGTCTTGAACATGAACAAGAGGGGAATTGTGATTTTAAAAGGCAGAAAGAACGCTTCTTAGTTGTGAAAAATCACAAGATAAAATGAACACGAATTTTATCTGTCTTCTCTACAGATACATTATGACTGACCAGTTAGCACATTTTTCATCTTAAAAATAGTCTTAAAATGTAGTTAAGATAGATAATATCAAGGTGTGCATTTGTTTGATGAAACAAAAACAAATCATGAAATTTCATGAAAATGAGGGTATTATAGGTTGAACTGTGCCCCAGAAAGGTATGTCCAAGTCCCAACCACCCTCAGGATGTGACTTCACTTCCATGTAAGAAAATGAAATTGGTCAGGAAGGTTTTTTCAAACCAGGGGAAAAGGACCCCCCTCCCCTCCCCTCTGAAAAAGTGTCGCTGGGCGCACTTTCCTCTAAGTCTCCAGAATCTTATTACTTGAGAAGGTATCTTCTTCTTCCCGAGAAGAAGATAAACCCTTTGGCCTCCAGTTCCAGGGCCTCACCTCCAGTGAAACGTAAACTGATTCCTCCAGCGCCAGGTAACCTACCCGGAGTTCTCACACCTCATACACTGCTAACTTATTTTCTGAGGTTTGTCTTCACCCACGACCCCAAATTTCAGTGAAATCTGCCCTGGAAGCCCTAAACACACGGTAACATAAAAGCCTTTTTGTTTTGTTCCTTGGACTTTTTATTTACAGGATGCAATGAATTCTTTTTTTTTTTTTTTCCAATTACATGGGTGTTTTCTCTACCGTCCCACAGAGGGGCCTTTTCATCATGATAAGGAGTCAGTCGGTGAGGGACACACAACAGGGTGCGCTGGTCTACACCTGCGGACAGAACTGTAAAGCACAGGAAAGGGGGGAAAAGTACAGAATTAAAGGAAGAAATACACAGTAGACAAGTCTGCATTCATGATGAGGGATTTTAACACACCTCAGCAGTTGGTACTACAACTAGATTTTTCAGAAAGCATGAGACAGAAAACTCTGAACATATTCATGCTTACGAACGTAGGCAAATTCCCCTTGGAAGAGACTACCAGCCACAGGTCAGAATACTGCTTCCTTAGCGCTTAGCAGGATTGGTACGTACTAGTTTTAAATCCTTTATTATTTATTCATCCAACAGACAAACCATGGAACTTGTACTTACCTACATTGTGTCACTTGCTAAGTGATTGACCATTTTTGCATATGCTCGTCATTTTATTTTTTTCTTGTTACCAGGTACATTGATAATTTTAGGTATATTTTGATATCGTTATGGTCTTTTTAATTCATAATGTTTTATATTACAAGTACTTCCCTTTTGTCATTAACTTTTTAAATTTATTGGGATGACATTGGTTAATAGGTTACACAGATTTCAAGTGTGTGATTATGTCTTACATCACCCGTATATTGTCTTGTGTGTTCACCACCCAAAGTCCAGTCCCCGTCCTTCACCGGGTATTTGACCCCCTTTTCCTCCCTCTGCCCATCTTCCCTCCGGCAGCCACCATGCTGCTGTGTCTGTGAGTTTTTGTCATCAACTTTTACACTACCTTTCTTACCTTCTTTAATGAATGGAAGTTAAAATGCTTCTACAGTCAAAGGACATTTTTTATAATGTCCTTTCCCTTCCATTTCTGAAACGGATTTTTTGAGATCCTGCTTTAGACCTGTTGTCTGTTTGGGGCATTATCATCTCGTTTTACAACTTACTTGCAAGATCAAGGTAACACCGCAAACTAGGAAGCATTGAGACAGGTGGCACAGTGTGATTTCTGTCCGTCGGTTTTCACCACCTAGACTGTCAAGCGCTTTCTACTGCGCTGTGCTGTTCTCGTACAGTTTACATCGCTGCCTGCTCTCGGTTTTCAGATCATCCAGAGCCTCACACGGCGGATCCAGACCAAAATCAAAGACCTTCTGCAGCAGATGGAAGAAGGGCTGAAGACAGCTGACCCGCACGATTGCTCCGCCTACACCGGCTGGACGGGTGAGGGTGCGCACGCACGTGATCGGTCTTGTTCATTGTCGGGTTACATGAAACGTAGGGCTTAGGTTTGAAAGTGCTTTCTCTTATGAAACGGTAAAGTTTTATACCCTTCAGGCCATCTTCATAGATGAGATGCTTTGGAATTTCATTTCCAAAGAAATTCTGCCTGGAAGTTTGAACTTTACTAAAGTACTACGTCGTATTTTTGTGTATTTGAGGAAACATATGACTGTCTGTAAAAATATGTCAGAAGAGCAGACTTGCCCGAGAGCCAGTGTCTTTTTGTTTGTTTGCTTGTCTTGCTTTGATCTTTGCGACAAGTTCCAGCTACATGATTTCTGTAGTCCGTTATATATAACTGTTTAACCTATTGCCTGTGCTCATTTGACCCATTTGTTCATGTAAAGATTTTTATTTTGATGACAATTGAACAAGCAACCAGTGATAACACTTCACGTGAAAAGCCTTAATTTGAAAAGTAGCCCTCCTTTCGCTAATCGTTACATTCTCATTGTTCTACCATGTAGCCAGAACGTGGTAAAAGCTGTTTGGGGAACATTAAAGAAACACAGACAGACCTTGTTTTGAGGGATTCGGCTGCAGTGCGATTACTACTAATGGCAGTTCAGGTATAAATGTATAGCCTTTTCTTGGTAAATCTTTAGAGTTCAGTGAAAGGACAGCACAGACACGAGGGTGCGGTGAGGCACATGAGTGGACGCCGGGTTTACGGACGGGGGGCCCCGATCTTTTTACTGCCGTTTAGACACATGTTCATACTTTCTGCCTGTGATGAATACAACATTGACATAGTGACCTTAAAAGTGAAACTTTCAAACTTTTCAGTCCAGACATGGTGCTAGTTCACCTACAGAGCCAAAGAATTTTATCTGAAGTGTAAAATTTTGGCTACCTTGAAATAAAATACAAAGAATAAAGATATTTTGAAAGGGAAAACAACACAGTTATGAGGAGACAGTTTTCCCCTGAAAAGTCTTCCACGGAAAGCATCTCTCGTTGTGAAAGTGGCTTTACTCTGTGGCATTAGGCCCTGAGTTGGCGCCGCAGCAGACTCGTGGGAGAGCGCTGCAATCAGCTAGGATTGATTGTGTCAAGAACTCGGAGAGGATGCTAAGAGTCAGTTTTTGTTTTTGTTTTTTTAAATCTCCATTTGTTGTCACCTTTTGGGAATCACTGATAGAGCCATCATGGAGGCATTTGGTTTGAATGCTTTAAAATAATAACTGTGGCTCTGGCGTTTGGGAGTGGAATGGAATCTAGTTAGACCCGCGCCTCCCTGTTTTTTCTCCTAAAACAGTATAAGAAGAGTGAATGAAGCACCTACTGCTCATCCCTTTCACAAAATGACGCTAGAGCCAGCACACAAATAACAGTGGGTTGAAAACCGAGCAGCGCCTGCAAGGACAGTGCAGAGCTTCGGTAGAGTAGCAGGTGCAGGAGGCCAAAGCCCCCGGGCGGGGAAAGCTGCCCTTCTTGCCCTTCCAGGGCAACAAATGGTCATTCCCCAGAGAAACCCAACCTCAGACAGGGAACTCTGGGGGCGTGTCTGAGTGCGAAGTAGGCCAGGAGTGCTGGTCCAGGCGGAGAGAAAAGGTACGGCAAGTGTTCCTGGAACAGAGGCTGTAGACTTTTTTAAAAGCATCACAGAACAGAAGAGGGGGTGGGATCACAGGCAGAAGCCGAGGGCTCAGTGGCGCTGGCGGATGTGGTGGGTAAGGAGGGAATGCGCTGGGTACTCCCAAAACATTGAGGATGGGAGAATCAGGGGAATCTGGCCTGGGGCGGAAATGTGTTAATATGGTTTGTATTAAATTCACTGGTCATCACTAGAAGAGGCTGCCGTTGGAATTTTACAAACCAGGAAAGCTACCTAATGACTTTCCTCTTCTAGAGAGTCATCCATAGTTGATCCAGAAAATCCATCTAATTCAAATTTAAGAAGAAAGTTCAACAGTTGTATACATAATATAGGGGAAAAAGGAAATCACATTCTGTCAATGGAAGAAGAAAACACAACAGGAAAATCCCGCTAGAATGTGGACAGAAATCACAGTACTTTCAACATCAGTTTGGAAACTTAGTTACGCAATAAGTTCACAAGCAGAACTAAAAACAAAAATCTTCTGTGTAATTTCTTTCATGTTCCCCTTCAGAAATGTAGGTCTCTATGTAGGTTTTCATATAATCATAAAGAAAAGGTAACAATGGAATTCTTGGGGGGGTTTCCAGGCATAGCTCTGTTATACCTGCAGCTGCACCGGGTCACGAGCGACCAGGCCTACCTGCTCCGGTCCCTGGACTACGTGAAGAGAACACTTCGGAACCTGAATGGCCGCAGGGTCACTTTCCTCTGTGGGGACGCCGGGCCGCTCGCCGTGGGGGCCGTGGTCTATCACAAACTCAAAAGTGACGGCGAGTCCCGGGAATGCATCTCCAAGTGAGTGCAAGTTCGCAGCTGGGGATCTTGCTGCAGAGAGGTGTTCGAGAGGTAGATCTGTCAGAATTAGTGTTTCTTACAAGCAGATCTCTCCAGGCAGGGAAGAGTCCTCTGTGTTCATCATGAGCAGAGTGGTGGGACCCTGTGCTCCCTTCCAGCCCAACCTGCGTTTGCCTTAACTTGGGGGGGGAGGGGCGCACCTGTTTCTCTGTGTTACTTTCATCATTTTCTCAAGTAATGTTTGGCTGCCCTCAGTGCCTGAAAATTAGCTCATTATCAGGTTCAGTTGTTATGAACAGTTAGGAGGGGTCAACGGTCAGCCACACCTGCTGCTTTCCATTCCTTCCAAGGAAGCAGGCGCCGGGGCTCACTCCCGAGGCGCGCTGGCCTACGGCTCACGCTGCCAGCCTGTTCACGTTTGTTGGAAGACGGGACGACTCAACCTAGTTCCCATGCACTGGCCACATCTTACTGCCTCTTCATTTGGACTTTAAGTCACTTTCTTCTAATGCTGGGTTTCAAAATTGAGTGTCTTCTCACAAAGATGTTTTGTTATTCATTGTACCTGAGAGAGAAATTAAGTAGAAAAGTTTTTGTTTCCTGTTTGGGTTTTTCTTTTAATATATTTTTAAAAATCAGTTTTAAATTAAAAACCCATGGCAGATAACTCCTACAGGAACGGGATTATGCACAGTTCCGGGAAGCAGTGTGCTGGACGTTGTCCAGGAAAACAGATTTTTCTCCTTGGGCAGACTCTTGCAGCTCCAGAGAGCCGTTGTCGGCCGAGACTCGGACCTTCCCGACGAGCTGCTCTACGGACGGGCCGGGTACCTGTATGCCTTACTCTACCTGAACACGGAGATCGGGCCGGGCGCCGTGTGCGACTCAGTGATCAAAGAGGTACGGTGGGGCCCCAGTGGCCCCCGGGGCGTCCCCCCAGCTCTGCGTGTGGGCACAGTCACAGCACAGGCTGCCCTCGGCTCCAAAGCAACAGGAGCTCCTTAAAGCATCTCATCAAGTTAATCAGTAGCTCCATGTCGTCCTCTCCGGGGATTTTTCAAAAATACTCTTAGGCCTGTATCCATCAACTGCCTTTACTAGAATCAGACCACCACAGCTCCAGGAAGATGGCGTGTTTGTTTCTCTTTCATGGGCTGTCTGAGCTGGCAGCAGTCCTGGGAGTATGGCAAGGGACCCTCCGCCTCATGCTGCTGTGTCCCAGGGGCATGCCCTTGTTGGTGGGACCAAAGCTGGGTGAGCACCTGCGCCCAGGGACAGGCAAGGAAGCGGAGGATGAGCCGCTTCCTTCCCCCTTACAGAACTTGGGTGACCATGTCCAGCCGTCTGGGGCTCAGAGGTCACTGCCCAGCTAAAACTTGGACCTTGGTTTCCAAAAGTAGGAAGGGATTTGGTGTTGGGAGCCAGCCAGGGTCTGCGCCACAGATGCATCACAGTACAGTTCTGCCCTGATCAGTGAAGTGCTGCACACGCAGCCGAGTGTTCATGTTGCCACTGTCCTCCCGGCTCCCACAGGAGCCTGCTGGGCTTCGAGGGATCGTCCAGCAGCTGCAAAGCCACTAAGAGTCTAGAGTATTTTTAGAGGAAGCGTTTCTAGATTCTCGTAAACTGTTGATACAAAGAACTTTTGGTTTCATGGTCTGACTTCTTAGTGTCTTTTTCTACTCCGAGGTTGTTGTCTGACTTTCCGCTGCTTGTATTTATTATGCTCCACACTGTTAGTGCTTGTTAGACTAAGACAGGACACCTGTGTTTCAATGGCTGCTGTCCCACTGTCCCTGCAGGTCGTCACTGCTATTGTCGAGTCGGGCAAGGCCCTGTCTCGGGAGGAGAGGAAGATGGAGCGCTGTCCCCTCCTGTACCAGTGGCACCGGAAGCAGTATGTCGGAGCGGCGCACGGCATGGCGGGGATTTACTACATGCTGATGCAGGTCAGCGAGGCCCCTCGAGATGCTGGCACGGTGGCCACATCGTAAAATAGTCCGTCCGCGGGGAGCGTGGAGCTGAAAGGCCGACGCGACCGTGCCTGCAGAAGTGAAGCATGGCTCCTCCTTTGGATCGCGATGCTCGAGCTTCGCTTCTGTGTTGCAACTGGCCACAAAGCAGAGGGTTTAAAAAAAAATAGAAAAAACATACTTAATGTTTTCTCTTTCTTTGTGTAAAGCCAGCGGCAAAAGTGGACCAGGAAACCCTGGCAGACATGGTGAAGCCCAGTATCGACTACGTGCGCCACAAGCGGTTCCGGTCTGGGAACTACCCGTCATCGCTGAGCAATGAGACAGACCGGCTGGTGCACTGGTGCCACGGGGCCCCGGGCGTCATGCACATGCTGATGCAGGCTCACAAGGTCGGTGCCCTGTCCTGGCAGCGGTGCCCGGGTCCCCTGCTCACTGCCAGCACCTCAGTTCGACCTGGGTGGGCATTTTAACTGGTTAAAATTGACCTGTCAGCATGACCTCTGCAGAGTCGTGAGCTGGGAGGAGGGCGGCTCAGGAGATAGACAGATGGAGACCACAGGGGCTGCAGCAGGGGCCACTGGTGGTGCGTTCTTCTCCCCGGGGCCAGTTCAGGTTTCCTAACCAGACGGGAAGTGTTTGCCAACTCTTCTCTGAGAATAGCATCTCAACACTGCTTTGCTTCTCGTCGCCCAGGTGTTTAAGGAGGAGAAATACCTGAAGGACGCCATGGAGTGCAGCGACGTGATCTGGCAGCGCGGCTTGCTGCGCAAGGGCTACGGGATCTGCCACGGCACAGCTGGAAACGGCTACTCCTTCCTCTCCCTCTACCGCCTCACCCAGGACAAGAAGTACCTCTACCGGGCTTGCAAGGTAAGGCCGTCCCTATCCCAGCAGCATCTGGGCTCCCCGGGTCGGGCAGAGCCCACAGCTGGCCCCTTGTCCTCTCCAGCTACTGCTCCAGCTCTGTGGCTTCATCTGCTCCTCAGGCACAGCCTGACCTGGCCCCTTTCCACTGCCCTGGGAGTCAGGCCCGCCGGCTCCTGAGTTGGCAGCCCTCACCTGCCAGCTTCCCCACCCACCTCTCCTCCCCTTCTGCTCTCTCTAGCCCAGCACAGGGCTCTGCAGCCAGCCGCCTGCCTCCCACAGCGGGCAACAGAGCAGGCCTGCTGCTCCCTCTGTGTTCACTGGTCCTCCCACTGAGGACACCCTTCCCCCAAAATCTGCACGGCAACCCCTTACCAGCGGTCTCAGCTCAGGGATGAGCTTGGTGATAGGCCCACCAGCTGAGCAGGGGGCCCAGTGGCCCAGCCCAGAGCACAGGCTCCTGACCTCCCCATTGCCCAGAACTCCCTCCCTGCGGCTCTTGGCGAGTTCACTGTGGTGACTCATCGGTTGCCTTCCCACGAAGTGGAGTCTCCAGTCGTCAAAAGAACAACTGTTTTCTTCTTAGTTTGCAGAGTGGTGTCTTGAGTATGGAGCCCACGGGTGCCGCATCCCCGACAGACCCTACTCTCTCTTTGAAGGTAAGGGAGGGAGAAGTCCACCCCTGGGTGGGTGCATCTGTGTCCCAGTGCCCGCTCCTTTCCCTCCACAGCTGTGGATAATTCAGAGTAGTTTGTTGCTGAAAATCGCAGTGAGTCTCTTTACTATACCTGTCCTGTGCTGCTGTGAATGTCTCCCAGGTACATTTGGGTCTCTCGTGAGGTGGCTGTGCAGACAGAACGTAGAATGTCTGCCCCTGGTAACAGAAGAGATGATGGGCTTCCTCCTCTGCCCTTGCTCTGCAATGCTGCGTGTTAACTGTTGATCTGGTCACAGGAAGCTTGTCAGTTGCACATCTCTAATTACTTATATAAAGAATTTAAAAATGTTAATAGTTGGGAAAAGTAATCAGAAAGTTCCGAAAAACACGAGCAGTGACAGGGAACGAACAAACACGGCGTTAACTGACAGCCTGCCTCGGGCACAGCGTGGAGGACACAGTTCGGAGCCCACGAGGACGTTTACACAGAGACGGTCCACTCCCACGTTCCTGGTGCGTGCGGGGGAGGTGGGGGAGAACTGGGTCATTGTGACATAAGGCACAGGAATCTGAGGACAGCGATGAGATGGTGTCAGGATGAATCAGTCACTTTTCATTCCTTTGGAGCCACATCTTACCCTAATTCCAAAATAAACTTCAGAAGGAATAAATGATTGGATTTTTTAAAATCACATATTACACAGATGTTGAATTTTATTGAATGCTTGTTTGCATCAGTTGATAAGATCATGTGATTTTTCTTCTCTAGACAATTAATATGATAGATTTTTAGTCTGGATTGATTTTTCAAACATTAGCCAGCCTCGTATCTGAAGTTGACCTCACTTAGTCCTGAGGTACAGTTATTTTTATAAATTGCAGAATTGTATTAACATTTTGTTGAGGGTTTTTACATCTATAGTCATCAGGATATTAGCCTATAGTTTTCCTTTTTGTACTGACTGTCGGTTTCGCTGTCGGGATGATGTGAAGTGTCTGCCTGGACTTTGTGCGCAGTCTGACCTCTGACCCTTCTGGGGGCGTTTCCTCCATCAAGGGGCTCTGCCCCCCCCCCACCAGAGTAGGGTCATTTCAGCACGGGCGCTCCAGGGCCCCTCCAGAGGGGTTTATGGTCCCTGTCTCTCTCCAGCGGGTTCTGACACATGTCCCTGAGCTGCTGGCACCCCTGCTTCAAACAGAAACTTGCAGGGAAGCCCGGGAACCGGCCTCGCCAGGAAACAGTTACCGGCCAACACAGAGCAGGAACAAATCGCAGAAACATTGAGGGAAGAAGCCGGACATGACAACCTTCTTGTGTCCTGTGTGGTTCCATTCATGTGACGTCCGACGCAGGCAGATGGCCCGTGGTGGGGACGGCGGCAGGGTAGCCTGGAGGGGTACTCACAGGGCCTCCTGGGGTGGTGCCGGAAGTGCTCCACATCCCTGTAGGTGCTGGTCTCCGCAGGTGCGTGCCACTGTCGGGACCCGGAGAAGTACAGCAGAGACGGCATGTTTCATGTGGATTTTACAGCAAAAGAAAACCTCGAACCAGTCAAAACCCAGCTGGGAGGCATTGTTCTGATTGAGGGGAGAACAGGGCCTGGGGCGGGAGCGGCCTGCCTCGCGGAGGCACCGTGCCCCTGGCTTTCAGAAGCTTCCGTGCCTCACTGTGGGACCAAAGCAAATAAAGTTCACTTCTAAATAACACTCTTAAAACCTAGGGAAGATATAAATGCGACTTTTTGTTTGGGCCGGAATGTGAAGGCTCTGAGAGAGGAAGTTTTGTAATTTGGACTATCTCAAGAGCAGCACTAGGGAGCTTCTCTGGTAGTGGTTCTGTAATACCTTCTCAAAGTGTCAAAATACAGTATTAAAGCCCAGAAAGCAACGTTTCAAAATAAGTGAGTGAAGTGGCGCCCTTCCCTGCTGGTGCTCAGGTGCGGGTTGCGGTGATTTCTGTGAAGCTGTTGCTGAAGCCCCCCACTCCTTCCCCAGACCTTCCCCCTCCCCCTGAAGGAGGTGGCAGAGGGCACCCAGTGTCGCTCCCGCTCCTGAAGGGCCCCCTTTGACCTTGCAGGCATGGCTGGCGCCATCCACTTCCTCTCTGACATCCTGGAACCGGAGACCGCTCGGTTTCCGGCATTTGAACTTGCGTCTTCACAGTGGGACAAAAAGGTGTAAACAGACCGAGAGACCCGTCTGGACCAAAAGCCAGCAGACCGCTCAGCGCCGGACGGAGAACCAACTGCGTGTCCTGAGAGGAGGACAGAGGAGCAGCAGCCCCTCCCGGCCCCTGAGTCAGAGCCTGAGTGACAGCGGCCTCCCCCCACCCCCTACGGCTGTCACGGAGCCCCTGGCTGGTGTGGAACACGAACCCTCACCCAGTTCTCCGCAGCGTTGCATGTCTCCTGGTGTGTGTCGTCCACAGGTGCGAGCGTGCTAAACAGGAAGCCCCCTGCGCCCACAGTGGGGCTGACCGTGCGGGCACACTCACAGCCCCTCTCTGTACATAACCTTCATGGGGGTTGTCACCGCATCCGCACGGCAGGCAGGCCACAGTCACGAAGTCCGTGGGGCGATGCCCTGTGATCACACTTGTTCACACCTCGGTGGGCCCCGGCCAGGTCACACGGGGAGGGACTGGCTGGAGGGCCAAGCCCACCCGGGGTGGTGGACCGCCTCTGTTTTGCACTCACCTCGTGTTTTGAAGAAGCGAGTGGAGCTCCCGCCCTCATGGAGGGCGCAGGCTGTGTGTGTGGCCCCTCACAGGTGCAGGGCCGGTGCCCCGGGGAGTGGACTTCAGGACAACCTCAAGGAGAGCTTTCTCTAGGTTTAACACCACCAAGCCAGAGCAGCGACCCCGCGGTGGCAGTTCCAGACTCCGTGTTACTGAAGCAGACGGCACCTCCCTCTCCTAAGCGTTACACAGTGTTGTTTCAAGTTCAGTGAATAAAATTCCAGAAGGGTGATAAGCAGAGAAATACTCAGCTGTTCCTGTGTCCCTGCAGTTACAGTTATGTCAAAACCTGGTGAGTTACCAAAGAGTGTAAGTTTGGGGTTAATACAGCCCTTCCATTTGGTCCACTATCGGGCGACACACATTTCACACTTGGTAAGTGTATTAAATATGAAAGCACTAGTCGTCACTCACACGGGGAACATGCTGTTCTCACTGAGAAATTGATGGTAATGACATTTTTATTTTAAAAACGGGAATCTGGATGAGCCCACATCCAATGATTCCATCACGATTCCAGTTTTTGGAAGTTTTCTCATCATGGGATGACCTAGGGCTTCTCATCCCGCGAGTGGAGGCACAGGTCCTGGAGGACACGCGGGGTCTCTGGCGGCCTGGTCCTTGTCCGAGCATTGGTCGGCCCTCCAGTCCCCCTCTGCGGGAGCCAGGCTGCCTGTGCAGGGGACAGGTCTCTGTCCACGGGGAAGCCCCAGGGCATTGCAGAGCCTCCCTTTAGGGGGTCACACACCGACACGGGACCTTCGTTTCTAAATGACGGCTCCCGATCAGATGCTCTATTCCTGAGTTGTGACTATTTTCTTCCAAGTGGGGTTGGTGACTTCCATGGAAATAAATCCTCACGGTTGTATTTTAAGGGACTTTCTGGGCCTGCTCCTGCGTGTCTCACCTGTTACCTGCAGGTGGGCGTGCTGTCCTGAACAAGCTGTGGGGGACAGCAGCTGTTCGGCAGAAAAGCTCACCACCTGAGGTCCCAGCCCATAGAGACCAGGCACCCCTGCTTGCCACCCCTCATCCAGACCACGCACAGCAGGGCGCCCACTGTGGCCTGCCCACCTTGCCACACCTCCCGAAGGCTGAGGCCCAAAGCTTTGCCAGCTGTCTCCTCTCCCCCAAGGCCTCCAGGACAGCCTGTATTGGCCAGAGGGGGCGCCTCACAGAAGCCCTCGTTCTGACCACATGTCCTAAACCAGAAATTGGAGGGTGACACTTCACTCCCTGGGTGTCTCACTGCATGTAGAAAACCCCTTGTTAGGCCTGTCTCTGAACCACACCCAGGGGAGAGACAACACATGTGGAATAAGTAGCAGAGATTTTACCTGCAAGTTGGTATAAGCCAGCTGGGTAGACACCTTCCTACCCACCCACCAGATGCTAACAGGTGTGCGGTGTGTGACTACATTCCCCTGGCACTCGCACATCCCGGGGGCTGCTGGGTAACGCTGGCTCCAGCTCTCGGTCTCCGAGGGCCAAGGAGAGACATGGACATCGAAGGGCACAGGACATCCGGGAGGTCAGGGTCAGGGCTTCACAGGTCTACACAGGGGGCCTCAGAACATCTCACCACAGTTTCTTGGGTGCCTCTCCGTCCTCCAGAGCGTGTCTGCACGTTAACATGTCCCCAAACCTTAAAGCTTGAAGGGAGGAAAGGTCTGCGGGTTCTCGGGTTTTGTCGGTCAAGACCATTTCATGGTGATGCCTCATGGCATCTGCCCCATGACAGCAGGGAAGGAGCCGAGACCTGGAAGAGGCCCTGTGACCTGGCCCGGAGCGTGGGACTAGGAGGAGGAACAGGACGGAAGAGGGGCCCTTCCAGTCTCTGCCATCGGTACTTCCCACCGCCCTCAAGGCCGGGAGGGCCCCTCTGGCCATTCACTGCCATTGCGTATACTGCTTGTAATTTTTAAGTTCACATCTCCTGCTCCTTCATTTGCTAAGTTCACAGAAGCAGTGATTCCAAGATCAAAGTCCAGGTTCCCTGAACACTTATACAGCTTTGAGGGACCCTTCCTTTCATGGGCCTCCAGTGTGGCACAGGCTGGGTGCGTCATGGGGACAGGACCACAGGTGGTCTCTGGGAGCAGAGACCCCCATGTCACGTGCCAAGTTCCCCCGGCACCTGAACACGTATCCACAGGGAGTGAGGTGTTGGGTTCCAGGCTGAAGAACACATGTGGGCAAGTTGGGCTTCCAATCAGGGATGCTGTGGAAGACAGACAGAGCCTGGGGTCGGGAACGGGGGCGCCTGCTCTTCTAGGGAGACCCCACCACACTGGAGTCAGTGACGGAAACTGAGATCCTCACCCTGCTGAGGTGTCAGCATGGCCCAGAGAGGCCTCATAACCCACTCTCTCCCCTCCGGTAACGACCGATACGGGAAACGATGAAGCAGAAGAGGGAGCGGCAGTGGTGCAAAGAGCACAGGCCACTGTTTGAAACAGGACTTGGAGGCAGCAAGGAGGTTGGCCACGTGGGCCTGTGTGGAGAGAGCACTGGGACCAGGGCTTTCCACTCATGGTCAAGGAGGGTGGGAGCACCTGGGGGGACTGGGGTGATGAGGAAGGCCAGGCCTCCGGCCCTCCCGAGGAAGACAGCTGTTACTCTGGGCGAAATAGGGAGCCACTGGGGGGTTCTGAGCAAAGGAGGAATCACTTGGGGGGCTGCTGGGTAGATGTGGGGTGGGGGGCTGGGGGCCCACCTGGGCAGCTAGCAGGAGGGGAGGCAGTGAGGGGCAGTCACATTCTAGACTGTCCTGGAGCTGGAGCCGGCAAGAGTTGCTGGCAGTCAGTGTAGAAGATGAACAGACAGGGACGCCTGGGCCCATGGGAGGGAGGAGATGCTGGGAGCAGAGACGAGAAACACCAGGGACCGGCCAGGAGATTCGGCAGCCTGGGGGCCCATGCAGCACCCGCCCAGGGTACAGACAGCACCTGAAAGGAGCTCTCTGTTTGTTACACAAGCGAGGAAGGACACGGGCCACGGTGAGAGATCTTGGATTGAGAAAACACTTCAAGTTCAGAAAAGCAATGGCCTGGTTGTAAATCGTGCCTGTGGCCCATTGGGCATTTTGAAACCCTGACCTGGGGCAGAAAACGGATGGAGGGATGGGAGCTGGGGCCTGCGCCGCAGACCAGTGGTGCGCTGGGGTGGTCCACGTCCACCCCAGGTCCACAGATGGGCACAGATGGTGATGGGTGGGCACGGACAGACAAGGTTCTTGGGGAGGCAGCAGCTGCCAAGCAGAGATGGCAGAGGAGGAGGTGTGGGGATGGGAAGCAAGAAGAGAAAGTGTGAATGTTGCCAGGAGAAAGGGAGAACGGGAGCAGCCGCTCAGTGGTCCCTTGGAGGGCAGTTTGAGCACGGATTCCTGGGCTAGTGTCTGACAGAGAGTGTATCCTACCAAGTCCTGGGGCGATGCTGCCGCTGCTGCTCTGGGGGCCCCACATGGAAGGAAAACACACCCTCAGTTCTCCGCCCAGTTCCACTGGTCTGGATGGGGAGTGGGCAGGGGGGTGGTTGCAGTGTCTGGCAAGACAGCATCCAGGGCCCACATAGTTGCAAACACAGGGGAGACCAGTCCCTGTCTCATGCGTGTTTTCCCAGCCACATGCAGCTTGCTTTTTGGTTTGATTTCTCTGAATGGGCTCATCCTGTTTGCTGACTTTCATTTTCCTCCCTTTCACCTGAGAGGGTCCATCCACTAGCGGCTCCGTGCTGCGTGAAGCCTCGCAGAGGGGCAGGGTGGGGACTCAGTGGGTTGGAAATTCCTGTCCACCGGCTGGATCTCTCCATTGGGGAAGCGCTGGGCAGGGGCAGGAAGCGCCTACCCAGCCGATCCCCAGTCTATGGCTGCAGGTGGCAGGAAGGAATGGCGGTGGAAGGGAGCTGGGTGGCCATTCTCACTAGGTGGCACTCTGACCTTCAATCAGATCTAGTGTCCTCTGGGCCGAAGACCAGAGCTCTGTCCAGAAAAGAAGCTCGAGGAATGCAGACAGAGGCCTCTACAGACCTGACTAATGTCTAAACCACCCTTGACCAAACCTCCTGCCACTGCCCAGAGACCCTGGGTGCTGCCTGTCCCACAGCCCAGGGCCAGGGAGGGTGAGATGAAATAATCCAGTTGGAGCACCATAGCGAAGCAGTAGCTGACCTCAGCTGGCTCCGGGGGAAAGGGTCTGGCAGTGGCCTGGATGCCTCTGTAGGTGGCACTGCCACAGAGAAGCGGGCCAGCCCCACCCCCAGGGAAGGCAGCTCTCGTGAGATGTTTGCAGCTCCAGTCCCACACCTGTTTTTTTCTGGAATCAGCTCCTTCAGGGATCTGCTGGCCCCTCCCACTTAGATGCTGAGCTTCAGCTGAACCCACCCACGGATGACCAGCTCTGCCAGGGAGCTGCGGTATTTAATTCAAAATCAGCACTGAATCATCGGGAACATTCCCAGTGGCCTCCTCATGGGAGACAGCCACCAAGACTCCCAACATTCTTCATTCTGGGCGCTCCCACATTTAACAAGTTTAATCTCTTACAAGCATGTCATTTCTCCTGTATAGCGACAATATCTACCAGTTATGAGCTGGGCCCTGTGTGAAGTACTTGATAAGCATATTGCAGTCAGTAATTTCATCCAGCTCTTACAAAAGCCTGTGTGTTGTGACGGGGGAAAAATATATTATTTATATATATATATATATATATAAATAATATATATAATATATATATAATGTATATTATATATTAGCCTGTGCGGAGGCTTCCCTGCCAAATTTCTCTACCTGTGAGGCAGCTCAGGGTAGGGAGGACTGCCCGAGATCATACAGCAGCTAAGTTGTGGGGCACAGATGCCACCAGACCCGAATTTATGGCAGTGGCATTGGCTAGTTCCAGGTCAAGGATCAAATGGAACCACTTCCCATGGTCGCTGAAGGATGAGGGTAGTGGAGGAAGATGTGTGGTCACGCCACTGCCTATTCCAATGGGCAGGGACGTGACCACACATCATCTGAAGCTTGGTGGACAGGGACAGCTCAGATGTGCTGACTCTGCATTACGTCATGCGTGTGAGCTTTATAGTCCTGTGTTAGACCATGTCAGACAAGCATGGTTCCTGGTGCTTCTATCTACAATAGAGGCACAATAGAATGTAAATGCTACTGCTCTGCCCCCAATCCACAGTGCACCCAGCAGTGACCAGCACGACCGCCTGGACATGCGGAGACAGCGTGGTCTCCTGCTAGAAATACACGCCATCACCTCTGACCTATTCCTTCCTAACGAAACAAGGACCCGAGTCCGATCACACTTCTCCATGCACAAGAACTAGCAGTGTACAAGAAATACGAGTACCATGGAGATGCAGTCTGCAAATTCCAGACTGGGAGTCTAGACAAAGAACAGGGTTTGTTTGAATAACAAAAACACACACGCGCGTGAACCAGACCCAGGACACAGCTGGAACTTAAACACTCAAGCTGGAAGCACAGGGTGCGCTATCCAGGAGGACCTGGTTCTGACACCCCCGACCACTTTTCAAAATTAAATAATGCTATCAGCAGCTCACGCCCTAGCCTCTCACCACACAGGGTGCCTGTCCCGGGGAAAGCAGCCTCAGGTGCATGGATTCCTGCTGCCAGACTCTTCCACCCCGGGGGCTCAGGTGGGAGATGGTGGGGTACGGCGCTGCCGCCAGGTGGTCTGTATGCAGAGCACCTGCGGGTTCCTCGCCCTGGCACCTGCACCCACGGCCACTCCTGTCCAACGTACCTGCTGAGCTTCAGTGTGGAGTTTCTCTATCAGCTCTCCCCTCCCCAGTGGGCTTTTCTGTACAAATTCATCTTCCACCCTCCCAGATCCGTTTTCTCCTAGTTCAGCCGCCACTCAGAATTTCTGTTCTTGCACTTCTGAGCCTCAAGGGCCGTTGTGGATTCTCTGAAGTTCCACGTTAGGAAGGCAGATAAAAGGTGACACTTGGGTCATGGCCTTGGACTCCTAAACGACCCTGCTTCAGTTTTGCAGGGGAAGCTGACGCTCAGGGGGCTGTACAAGTAAGATGTGTACCCCAGAGCCGACTTGGCCACGAGCAAGCTGCCCGACCGCTTCCGGCTGACTCCCCATCCTGTCTTCAGATGCCATGTTACAAAATGCTTCAGTTTAAACATTACGTCCGTTACTGATTCACCTAAAATGCCACTCACCATAGCAGATACATCATTCCACAGGCCCGGGAGACAGGTCTAGTTTCTGACCGAGCAGAGCTACTGTTTAAACTGAAGGCTGTGGAAGCAGATCCAGGCCCCTGGCTGTCTAGTGTCTCCGTCAGCTGTGGTTTTATGTACTTAATGCTTCTCACTCCCCACTCGCTTCGGGCAGTTTTCTCTTAGCTGGATTTTTCAGATGTGTTGGTGAACCACAACTTCCTCGGTCTCTGACAGCGGAATGTAATTTCCCGTTCTCCCACCCCACCCCACCTCCACCGGCTGCAGGTGCAGCCCACTGACGGCACTTCCTCCAAGGGGTTGCACTCTGCTCTCTTTCCCACTCTCCAGCAAAACAGTCAAAGCACACGTCCAAATTTACTTTTATTTCGCACACCTAGGAAACAGGACCCTACCAAAGAGAACGCAAAGGAGAAGTGAGCCACGTGTTGCGGAGGAGAAGCACGCCCGAGTCTGCTCTGAGTTTCCTCCCAACCACTGAGGACACGGGACTCTGCCCGCCCCCGCCCCCCCATGGCGTGAGGAGCTCCACTGGCAGGTCAGGGTTCTCTGGAGCAGGGCTGTCCCCCAGGTGCCGGGGACGACAAAACGTGCCTGACACAGACATGGGAGTATAAAATTGCTGGGTGTGACCGGAGTCATCCAGTCTCTTAAGACCACTTGCTGTCAAAAAGATACACAAGGTTTTGTCACGGCCACGTGGCGCCACTTCAGCCACACCTGGTCCAGTGCCGGGGCAGCTCTGAGTATGCTCATTATTTAATTAAAAACAAAAAAAAAGCAAAGGGAGACACTGCAATAAAAAATGCAAAACAAATGGCATGGGGGAAGAGGAACTAAAATTTAGACCCATGTATTGTTGTCGGTTGTAAACAGCAAATGTTGTGCTTTGTCAGCTCATTTCACACAAGGGCCTGGGGGTGGCAAGGGTGAGGGCCAGGAGTCCACAGGCCACACCAGGGGGTCAAAGCCACGCCCACTGACTGTGCCCCCAGGGCGCTGGTTGGGCCCCAGGCACCTCCTACAGAACTCCCCACTGGCCTCCTCACCACTGGCCCGCAGGGCACCCAGGAAGACCAGGGACACCAGACTCCCTGTCTGGGGCACGGCAAACACCCAGGACCCATTCCAGTGAGACGCCCTGATGCTCCAGTGGAACAAGTAACAATTTCTCAAGATGCTCCCTTAATTCATTTCAAAAAGAAGGCTCCCACCACCCCTTACCCCGCAGTCCGACCGCCACCCACACAGCGGTCCACACATCTCGGCTACACTGCTTTGCCCTCCCTGTGCCTGACCAGGCAGGTCTCCATCTGGGTGTGAGTGCTGTGCTGTCGATATTACTAGCTATGCAGCGGAACAGGACCCGGCTCACTGTCAAACACCCTGGGGACGGCTCGCAAGATCCCAGGCTGACAGAGGTTTCTGAGCCAGGGTTTGCATCTCCAACCATGTCTTCTTTATTCGAATGTTGATGAAGTCGTCAGTGAAGTCTGTTCGGTGCTTTTTGAGATCTGCCTGCAGTCCTTTTTCTTAGCAAGCTCCTCTTCAGAGCCCGACACCCACCTGCCGATGGTCAGATGCCTCTCACTAAGGGGTTGATGTGACTTCTGCTTGGGAAGTGTCCTTTATCAAAGCCCATGGCCAGATCTGACTGGGGGTGGGTGTGGAGACCACAGGTCCCGATCAGAAACCTTGAGCTGCTAACATTCAGTTAAGACACTTACTCAAGTCACACCTCAAAGGACAGGACTCTACACAAACTTCTATAAAAGCACTAAAAAGAGGGGAACATTCTTTTTCCCCAAGTCAGACCAAGAGCTCCTAAAATTCATGTTCCAGTGTGAGACAAGGAGCAATTTCCTGCGAACATACAGGACCTTCCTTAGGGACCATCAGGTCACTGCAGACCACACCTTGGCCTGGCTCTGGGCCCACATCACCCTGCGGGGACAGCTGTGCCCAGTGCTCCCAGACCCAGCCGCGCAGAAGGGGCGTGGCTCTCATCTCTGGGAAGTGATGGAGACAGGAAGGTGCACAGAGGCTTCTTGTCCACCGAACGTCTCTCTAGCAGCTTCTTGAAGAGGAAGACAGACAGGACGAGGGGCTGCAGCAGCTGAGCCTATGAGGCCCCTTTTCAAGGCTTCCTGGCTGGTGGGCGGAGCCTCCCCCGTGTCCTCACCTGAGCACAAACACCGGCCCTCGCTGGCCTCCTCCTCTTAGTCCCCGTCCTGAGGACCTGGGCATGCCACCCTAAGGTGCCAACCCTCGGAGTCCGCCCACACTCGGCCAGAGCACAGACAACATCAAAACAGAAGGACACGGGACGAATGCAAACACCAGGCATCTACGGGGCACCTGGGAGGACGCTGCACCCGCCCGAAGACATCAGAGAAGGATTGGCCCTCGGTGGCTCACGAGACCATTCCAGAAGCGACTGCCGATGGGGACAGGAAAGGCAGGCTGGAAAAGCTTCTCCCTGTCTCCCCTGCACCATCACCCAGGCAGGCTCCGGGCGCATCCCCACTACTTGGCCTTCACCACCTGCTCGTATGGGGGCGGGGGCGTGTTGCAGTAGGAAGGGGGTGGGGGGTAGGCCATGCTTCCGTGCGGCGAGTTGGGCTGGACCTGGAAAGCCATCGGCATGGGATTGCCAGCAGGGTTCATCCCTGGTCCTCCGGGGTCGGTGTAGTAGGGCAGCCCTGGCGGCTGGGCTCCTGAAAGGCAGAGGAGCCAGTGTGAGCATGGCAGAGAAAACCCACCGCCTGCTGCCACAGAGCTCTGCCAGAGCGGCGTGAGAGCCCGCTGTGTGGCAGCAGACTCTGCACTGAGCGCAACTGGGAGCTCGCTCGTTTGACCGGCTAGTCAAAAAAGAGGTGGTCGCAGGCGACAGCAACATAGTGACGAGGAGGGGCACAGTCAGCTGGTCTGGGATTCGGTGTGGTGGGGACTTTGCACACAGGGCTGGAAGAGCCCAGAGCCAAGGGCCCGCCTCCTCATCTTACTCACAAGGGGTGGAACATTTGACAGATGAACCAGCCCTTCAAACTGAGGACTATGGTGGATGGCCCAGTTAGAGAAAGAAAACACAGAAACGTGGCCTGAATTCTGTCTTCCAGCACATTCTAGAGGAGTCCCCTCCTCGAACACTTACAGGGAACGCATGCACAGCAGGGAGGGTCGGGGACCGAGGGCTGGCTGACCTGGCGCGGGGTTTGGGGGCTGCCTGGTGTAGGATACATTGAAGGCCGGCTCCTCGATCAGCGGCGGGGGGTACATGCGCCTCCGGATGAAGAAGCCAGCGCCGCAGCAGAAGAGGACGCCCATCATCAGGAGGAACCTGGCGAGAGACAGTGGTGAGGCGCCTGCGGCCGCTCAGACACAGGGAGCAGCGTGCTGAGCCCCCTGCTCTCGGGCAGGCTGGTCCTGCCCTGGCTGTTTGCTCCAGGACATCCCTGGGTGGATGTCCAAAGGGAGACCCTTGGCTGCCAACCTGGGGGTGCCACTGGGCAGAGTCCACCCGCACTCAGAAGCCAGGTGAGGGCTCTGTCTCAGAGAGCCACACAGGGCGAGCTGGCTTCGCAGGACTGTGGCGTCGCTTCCCCGCCACTGCCCTGACCTCCACGCGACACTGCCACCTAAACGGGAATTGCCTTTTCCGTGTTGCCAGAACCCCAGGCCGACCCAGCCTTCGCTTCGCTCCGTCTCCCCGTGCCCCGTTCTTTACGGCGGGAGTGACGGTGGTGCACAGCACACTGTCCCTCCTAGCAGGCTGCTCTCGGCCGGTGCGTGCACATCCACACAGAGACGTCAGGCGGTGCCCTTCCCACGGGAAGCGCAGTCACAAGAAAGCTACAGGCACATGGACAATCCATGCGATAGGAAAGCCGCAGGTCTGCGATCCAGGCTCTGGGAACGGCCGAGCGCTCCCCTCCCACGACCCCTGCGACTGCGGGACAGCAGAGTGGACTGCTGCAAGGACAGGAATCGTTAGGCTCATCCGAGGACCCTCAGCGACTCGCCACACCCCTGGCACTCCAGATGTGATTGATGGACGAAGGAGCGACTGCCGTCACCTTCACCTCAGACAGCATCTGTGTTTCTGCAAACTGGGGAGTCTTTCAGAGAAGGGCCGGGCTGTCCTCCCTGCAGAGACGTGAAAGAGAAACTCCTGCCCATACATGAGTTTGTGTGATGGAACCATCCAGAACCTCCCGTGATATGCCACACCGTGTGTGGGCCGCACACTGCCTTCCTTGTGAAGAATGAGCACACTGAAGGGCTGGTCACGTCATCGTCAAAGGCACCTGTCCACACACGAACAAAATTTAAAAGAGTGGGCGCAAAAGCCTTTGAGACTTAGCAAGATGTTAGGGTCAGTCTGTTTGTCAATACGTATTTACTGGACAACCAGGGATGTTGACTGGGATGAGAGACTGGGAGAGGACCAGGAAAGGGCTCCCATCGTGACATCTTGTCTGTCTTCTAACCCGCTTTGTTCCCCAGGTGACTTCAACACCTGCTGAGCTCCTAGCACCTGCTGTCTTACGGAAGGGAACACAGGGAGGAGCACAGTGATCAACCCAGTTTGAAAGGACTTATTTATGGTGCTGGTCATAACAGCTAAGAGGGAAAACCAGGGGCGCAGCTGTAGGGCTGTGTGCTCATGGTCAGTCAATGCCCACTGTGGCCATCTTTAAGTGTTCTGCGTAGGGCAACAAGGATTCTTACAAGCCTGTCTGCCACAGTCAGGAAGATCAAAACAGCTTCTTCTCCCTCAAAGCAGTGTGCGAGCTGAGTCAGAAGAATGCAAAGAAAGAGGCGAGTTGAAGGGCTGGGGAAGGAGCTTTCTGGGTGGATCGGCAGTCTGGGTGTCTGGCCAGAAGGCCAGGTGAGCGGGAGGCCCAGAGAGGCCAGCAGCCACTGCAGGGGAAGGGCAGTGGAGGTGGCAGGCTGGCAGGGGTGCCCTCCTGGGAGCCAAAGGAACCCGGCCGTGCAGCCGCTGCAAGGCCTGAAATCTCCGAGTGAGGTGCCGAGCATCAGAGAGAACAGCTCCGTCTCTGCAACCTGACTGCCCTCGGGCGGGCTCAGTGACCGCACTACAGTCAGGTTGCCTCCAGCTGTCACATCGGAGCCAGAACTTAAAGCAGCGCAGGGCTTG